AAAGATGGCAAATACTGTAAATCAGTCTTTTAGTTTTATATAAGCCTTCTTACAGAAACCTGGAAACAATTATTTGTCTGTTTTATAACACCGTTGCCAAAACCTCATTAAAAACCTGAATGCAGCCAATTCCTCCACACTTTGAGAAGAGCAAATGTGAACCTCTATGGCTACAGTTTTTCCAGTGTCAAAACCTTGCTGTTCCCTTCCCATCTCTCTTTCTTGCAGTTATTCACAGCCCAGATGCTGTCCCCATGACAGCTCTGCAGACTGAGCATCTCTTCTGTAAGAAACCTTAGAGAGCAAGCTCACACCATACCTTGCTTTGCTCAGAGCCAGCCAAACTCTCCTACTTTATGCTTCCATGAAGACAATCAAACATAATAAAAAATCTTTCTTGGCTAATTCCCTCTGACTGCATGACATAATGGTCACAGATCTTGAACACCAAAATAATGTGTGATTTGGGCTAGTTTTGAGATTTCTCTGAATTTTCTTATATGCAAAATAAGTTTATGTAATTCAGGTGACAAAGTTATAAGAAAAGGTCTGTTTTTTCCTAAATCCTTTTGGCTGAGAGCTTGTAAAATCATTGTATTTGAATGATAGTGGAAACATTTGACCTTATTTTAAAGTTTACCATCTAACTCTTTCAAGTTTTGAAAACAAACTTGAAAAGCTGAGAATCCTTATTTTCCAAATGTCATTGGAAGCATTTCCAAAATTTTCAATGCTAGAAGCTTTTTTCATTAGTAGGTAATTTTTAAGACTTTGAATAACTTTTGATACCATATATGAATGCACTTATGTTTTTTTCTTTGTTTGATTGACCTAGATATAAAGCACATCATGTCACAGACCTCTGAGCAGTATGAATTTCAATTTCTGGAAAGTAAATAAATGAGAGCTTGGAGGAAAGGGAAGATGGCTTCACTGTCCTTCACTGACTTTTCCAAACAATCTTTGATATTAAAACATTTGGAACTAAATAAAAACACCTTTGAATTGGCTTTCTCTTTATGATATTTAAATGAACACAGACCAACAGATAAATTAATTGCACTACCTCATCTTCAGGCTGAAAAAGAGCATGGAGATAGTGGTTTTGGTTTTGATTTAGATAAAAAGAGGAGGTATAGGTTTGCTTTTTATTTTATTAGTGCAATAGGGCTAGCAGAGTGAGAGCCTGGCTCACAACTAGGAGGATTCCTAGGAACTCTGATTATAAAAATGTAGTAATGTGATTAGGTCGATTGGAAAAGTATGTTGAAAAATAAACTCTTGAAGAAGGGTGGAAGCCTATATTAACAAGCCATTCAATATTAGGCCACATGTATAATAGACAGTAGAGAGCAGGCTTCTTCATTAAAAGAATGGAGGATGTAGAATGCCTTGAAGATATGGTCCATATCTGTGAAACTGATGTTGACAGATGCAAAAAAAGTTAAAGAGCATCATCACCAGCATCCTGTGATATTCAGTGTTGCTGTTTTTACTGTTTATTATTATTGTTATTGCCATGGTTAGCACCTATGATGCGTTAGATATTGTCCAGACAGTAGAGAAAATGAATGAGGAAAGAAACAAAATTCAGGCTTTTATGTCCAAGCCAACTTGATTCAATGCAAGTAGCCATATAGAGGAAGGACTGGGGATGGATAACCTCATGGGTCAGGCCAGGGATAACTTGTAGGCTGCTGAAGGACAACTTGAACAGTTGAGATTGGATGAAGAGAAGTAAAATGGATGGGTAATGCAAAAAATTATTTTTTTTTTTTATATACCTTTCTAAAACAGATAATTCCCATAGTGTTTTTCTGTTGTACTGCAGATAGTTTTTCACTGGACCCCGAAGTCTCAAAGGCAAATGCCTATGGTTTCACCGGCTGCCTGTCCTCTGTTCAGTACAACCACATTGCTCCCCTGAAAGCTGCCTTGCGCCATCCCAGCATTGCTCCTGTGACTGTCAAGGGCTCCTTGACTGAATCCAGCTGTGCGTCCATAATGGAAGCTGATGTGAACACAGTAACCACAATATATTCCTCATCAGGTATGTCCTGCCTAGAGGGGAATGGGGAATTTAAAGGATACTGTAGAGTGAGGTTTCCTTCCTTTTTGCTGTAATGCAATTGTGATAGTATAAATATTGGAAGTGGGAAGTTGTCTTTTCCCTCAGAGTTAGGAGTGTTGAGGATGGGCATTACGACTAACCAAGGCCACTTTAAAAGTCATCGTACTAGAAGTTTTCAAACTAAGAGCCTGGATTGCCTAAAACATGCCTAGAATAAAAAAATAAGTCCTAAAGCCCTAATGGAAACAGCATTGGAAGTATGGTTTTGCACCTGGCTTGCCATTCCTGTCCGGTCTAGCTGGCTCCAGTGCTGCGGTTCTCAAAGGAAAACATAAATGTTGCACACCTTCCGAATCCTAGTCGTGATCAGCAATAGGAGTCATACAGCAAACAAGTTGCATTTGTTCCCACCCTAGCAGAAATGACTAAAAACTCCTTGTACAAACCCCTCGACGCATGTACGTGACTTCCTTTGAATGCTTGTACTTTATTCTCTCAGGCTAAAGAGAGGGAGCATTACTTGAGCGGTACCAGTAAGATGATCCCAGTAGTTCATTTATCTTTTGCAATCCTGCAACTATCCTCTGGGAATCTTAAGCATTTTGCATATGTGAATTTGTATGCAGAGAAGGAAATTCAGAGCAGCTGGAAGTGTTGTCACCAGGAACAGGGGCAATCAAGTTGCTACTTTAGTCACCAGTGGATGTGGCAGAATTCTTAATGACCAGAAAAGGGTACAAATTAAGGGCTATTTTTTGCCCCTTGACCTAAGAAGCCACTTTCTCTTTTCTGATAACTAATGAAACACTATTTTAGACCATAATATAATTCCTTTGACATTTGTACTTGCATCCAATCGCCATTTCCTGCAGCTTCTGCCTAAGATACTCAGCAGAAAAGAAGTAATGATATTAGCATTGTGCATAGGGGAAAAAGGCTGCTGATTACTCTGTGGAGAGTGGCTGCCAGTATGTGTGCTTCTACCCACGCCCCAACTTTCTTCTCACTGCCCAGAATTGTCTAAGGTATCTGCTCTGACACACAGAAGAAATGTGTCTTGTAAATATCGAATGGGCAATGATACTGAAAATATGAACTCCTTGCCCTGTGATCTGTCACCTCAATGATCTAATTTTTCTACAGAGTTTAGAAAGCAGTAAAACCTGAGGCTCAGAGCTGCAGGACATAACATGAGCAGAGTGTAGCATCTTTGGATTTAGATATTTAAAGCTTACAATCAGTCGCACTCCATTCTCAAGGTTAAGCACTGTTACATCAGAAATGCAGAATTATTATAAAAGCTCACCCCTGTCTTTGCCATTCTGTGGTTTAAAATATGATTTCCTCTCAATATGATGAATTAACTGACACTACTGCCTTGCTGTTCACACTGGATTTGATTAAAGCCTGAATAAGATCTTTAGAACGAAGAGTTCATGTCTTTATATGCTATAGTAAGAGCACTGAGCAGTAAATTCTTGTTTAAAAAAAAATTTGGATTTGTAGCAAATTATACTTTGTATAGATGTACTTGAGAATTACATTTATACATGGAAAGGACACATTTTAAGAAATAAAAGGAAGTCAGAGTTAAGGATTAACCTTCAAATTTACTGCTCATATCTCAATTCATCAGTTCACAATTTCTCATTATTGAGTGTCTGAGAAGAAAAACAGAACTTCAAAGTTGACTGTACATGTCTCTGTTGATTTTCTAATGTACAGATACAACAAAAAAAGCCCTCTAGGAAATCTCTCTTTAAATGTGTGAAAAAAGCTTTCTATATTTATAACTTGAAAACAATTGAAACTGGCTCCTTCAGAGAGGAATACTTGTTGTCTTCAAGAAAGTTCCCTAGCAGACAAATACGGAATAAAATCCATTCACTCATGGCTCAGTTACCAGTACACACTCTTTTGATTAGGAAACACAGAATGAAAGGTGACTTACTGTGGTTTTGATATTTAACAAAGATCTACAAATCACCTTCTTCCTCGCTCAGGGACATGTAGAAGTTTTGGTATTCTGAACTCTGCACTGATGGCATAGAGATAATGGACTTTTACTGCGCAATTCTTTTAATATATTTAAATACTGTAAATGCCAGAGCAGATTCAGCTGTGTGAACGATGGAGCCTTGAGCTGTCTGTCTAAGCCAACTGAAGAGCAGGTCTCCATGCATTTAAAGTGATATGGGGAACCTTTTCAGTATGGATGTGTTTGATGAGAAATCCTTCCACTCCTAAAACTAGCAGCAGAGTTGCATCTTTTAAAACATGAAAGCCTCTTTATGCCTGATGCCTTCTGTGCATCTTTAGGACTAGTGTCAGTGATGTAAAGATTAAGGAAAAAATACCCCTTTAAGAACTTAAACAGCCCAAAGCCACCATCATTACAAACTCAGCACCTCCTGATACACCGATACAAAATTGTTGCTTATTTCAATTAAAAAAACATCATATTGAGCAATGAGATACCAGAATGTGGCTGAGTCAACTACTAAGGCAAGGATGTTCAATTACAACAAATCTTGCAACACCAGATTTCTCAGTTAGGCTTCCACCTTTTGCATCGGAAAGATCAGTTTGGCAAAGCAGTATAATATATAGCAGAGACGGTCATCCGTAACTCCCACGTACATCCTCTGTATGGTATCCTGGAGGCTTGTAAAGGAGAGAAACGTGGATAGGAATCTCGTCAAAGGAGAGGGTGAGCTGAAAGGAAAAAAAAAGTGAAATTGTAGAAAAGCTGGATTCAGCTAGCAGTAGAAAACATAACATTTTCTGAAACATGCAGAACTAAAGTAGGTACAGTGCCATAACTCCACTGATTTGGAGTAATTTGAAACTGCCAGCACGTAGACTATTTGGCCCAGTGTTTAAGCAGTAGTCATTTATAGATAGGGTACAAGAGAGCTCCAGCATCGAGGAGCCTTTAATATAGGAATTAATTTCTGTCCCCTCTTTGTTTTGAATCCAATTTTATTGCTGGATTTCTGCAATAGAGAGAAGGGAGAGAATCCCTTCCAAAAGCTGTCTCAAGCAGGGACTGCTTCTTTGTATGGGATTGAATACAACTTGTATATCTGCATCTACGCACATAGATCAAGTCTAAATCTGTCTAGCTTTCCTTTCCTTTTGCTCCTTTCTGATGTTGTTTCATAGGTATCCGGGGGGGAGGGAGGGGTAGGGGAGTGGAATCAAACAAAAAAAAACCCAAACAACAAAAAAAAACCCTTAAACTCTTGAAAAAAGCTCCCAATGGACTATTTAGTACAAATGCCTCTCTGATTCCTCTACCAATAAACTGAGACAAGACTTTCAGATGTTACTGAAGCCTTGAGTTATTGAGCCTTTTGATTTCCTTTTAAATATACTCTTAACAGACTTTGCTCCTGAAGATGTAGAAGAAAATTGTCCTGCAAAATCACTTTATTTTTCAGAGAGCTTTCTGGTTCAATTCTCTAGTCCCCCAAATCACATCTTTTGAAAACAGATTAGAATTCATGAGGGTAAGAGGACACTTCTGTCTAAGGCACAGAGAAAATGAATATAGTTGATACAGAAAATAAGTCCTGTTTTGTTTAACCAACTGCAGATCCTTTTGGGAAGACAGATGAAAGGGAGCCTCTCACCAATGCAGTCAGAAGTGATTCAGCTGTGATTGGAGGTAACTTCATTTTTAAAGATTACAATTGAAAAAAAAATAATTCTGGCAAGGCAAGCATCTCAGGTACTTTAAATCTGGGCTCCATAAAATTCAGTTCAAGTTTTTTTGTAATCTAATGCAGGTCTAGTATTTGCTGTATTTATTAGCACATATCTGTATCAAACTACCTAGAAAGGCACCTGCGCTATGGATGAAGCCAATAGTGGCAGCACGTGATGTTGGAAATCACCCCAAAAAAGGCATTATGGATCATCAAGAACCTGAGTCTTCTAAAATATAACCAAAGTCTGTCTATCTGCCTGCTTGAGCAGGGGAGTTGAACAAGATGACCTCCAGAGGTCCCTTCTAACCTCAACTATTCTCTGATTTCATGTAATTCTGTGATCTAAGACCCAGCTAAGTAGTAATTGTTTTACACACCACTCTGATAGGAGCCTCAACACAGTATTCACATATTCTGTATTTCTTGAGCTCTGTCTTTGTAAGCTGGTGGTGTAGTAGAACTTGCTAGGTGATATGGAAACATTTATATACTAAGGAAAATTGTCCTCATAGCTTCATGTCTGGTTTTCATTTTCCTTTAACCTGGAAGGCAATTTATCTCTGTTTATTTTATAGGATGCCCTGTAGGAAGCTGCTCTTGATAATATCTAGAAGCTACAAACCAAAGTGTACAAGGTTTATGCAAGGTTTCCAGACACAACACAAAAGAAAATATGACAGAAAGAATTTGTATGGGCATACAGATCTAGTTTTTTAAAAACAGACACACTGACCCAACTTTACTCACAGTGAAAGCAGAATTTAACTGAAATTAGGGGGTCAGTTACATCAGTGCTTGCTGTTTTAAGTCTTAATTAAAGTGACAAAATAGAAATAAAAACTACCAGGGAGGGTATGATAGAGGCAGATGATTGTGTACAGAGCAGGGATGAACTGATCCATCATATCCACTAGCTGTTGTGCATTGGTAGGGTGTTTTTGAGGTAACTGGGGTTTTGTTTTTTGCTCTTTCTATCTTTCCTTTTTTACCCCTCTTCAGGTGTAATAGCAGTTGTGATATTCATCATCTTTTGCATCATTGCCATCATGAGCAGATTCCTCTATCAGCACAAACAAGCACATCGAAGTAGCCAGACAAAGGAGAAGGAATATCCGGAAAACCTTGAGAGCTCCTTTAAAGCTGATATTGACTTGCAGAATACAGTGAGCGAGTGCAAACGGGAATATTTCATCTGATGGACAATGCAATTTCTTCTTACTCTTACTTCCCTAACCTTCCTTCCTATATTTCATTCTTCCTTCCCTTTTTCTTTTTGTATTTTTTTTTTTAAACATTCATTTTTTTGCTAACTTTTTTTTCGTTTGGAAAAGACCGCCCTGCACAGGAAACACTTGACAACAATCACAGTGCCTCATTCTCTGCACAAGAACCTGGCAGTCATAGTTTTCTTCTGCAGCTCAAGAGACCTGTTATCCCACTCCACACAAAATAAAATCCACACACACACCTGGTTTCTGTTGTGGGTTCCCAGATGTTTCAAAGTCCCTACATTTATTTGTGTTTTTCTCTGGAGCCATTTAATTCATAACTTTTACACTAGAGTTGGACTATGTAAAGTAGAGGTAAAGTAGGTGAATATGTAGCTCTACAGATATTGGGACAGGATAGAGGGAAAGAATGAGACCAAAACACCTGATTTATTTTACAGGCTCATTTACAGCAATCATAAAGAATCAGCCAAATTCTCAAATGATATGAACTGATGTGTATCCATTGATTTTAATGCTGTTACATTAATTTATACCAATTGAGAAGCTGGTATGAGGTAAGGAAAAATAAAACTGTCCTCATTAAGCTCCTTCCCCCAGCCTCCTGTCCTTTTACTGTAACTTTTAGGCTTACCAGTACTTTTCCAACAATATATGTATCAACAGTAAACATCATTCCTTTCCACCTTTTTCAGCTCCATCTCATAAGGCTGGCTATATAGACCAAACATACTCTAGCATAACTCTAGCTGCAGCATGGAAAATACTAGCTTGAATCTCCAAGGGTTTTAATAAGCTGCTAGGACTTAGGTGCTCTATATTTGTCTGAAATGTTAGAAATGCAGCATATACCTCTTCATGCCATATGGAGGATTATCACGTGCTGAGGTTAAACACTGTTGCCACTGTGGTAAAGAAAAAGTACATAGACAAGAAAAAAACAAATAGTTTAATCTTAAACATGAGTCACACCTTCTATAAAAAGAAAAAAATCCAACTACTCAAAAAATCACCCAAAACTGCATGAAAGTTTGATTGGTATTTCCTATTTGAAGAAATTGGAATATCCTCTCCAAAGCTAAAGAGGGATCTAATGCCACGTCTAAAAAGGTTAATATTTAATCAGCCTTGTTGGTAAGGTAGAACAGTAAGAAAACACATTAAAAAAGATCGCAAATACTCTACTTTGACTTAATCTTAACTCCTGTTTTTCTAAAGTCTTCTGTCGTTTCCTGATTTGGAACAATACTAAAGATTTGAATCCTGTCCATTTTACTTGTGGTAAATGGTTTCAGTGTGAGGCTGAAAAACCTTTTCGGTCACAGACATCTTAATAGTAAGAAATGGAGAAGTCCCACCAAGGGATGTTTTTCACACCCTGCTTGGGTCTATGTGACATACTGCCTTCGCAGGGCATATATAGAATTTAATATCAGACTTGAAGGTTTCTGGAAGGAGTTGAATCAATCCAACAGCTAAGAAAAAAAAAAAAAAAAGGTATATTGCAGTACTCTTGCTAAGAATTAATTCAAGACAGTTAATTGTGCAGCTGAATCTCTTTCTTTGCCCCCTACACCCTTCTGCAGTCATCCTGGGTTTTCCGCATGATGATCCTTTTTACATAGATTAAAATCAAAGAATCACAGTATGAGGTAATAACCCACAGCAAACTAGAGATTAGGTTACACATGCAATAGGTGATATTTTTCCGGGCAGTGGATTGCAAAGGTATGTAGCTGGTTATTTTTTTTTTATGGGAGGAGGAGACAAAGAAGAATAAATAAATCACAGTTTGAATATGGTGATTCTTCACCACTTCTTTTGGAAGATCTTATGATAAGTAACATCCAGTGAAGACAAAGCAATCTTGGAATGATATCACTCTCACGTGAAAAGCAATAACCATAACCAGAACTGTGAGCAATTTTATAAAGCAATTCATATTGAAATTAGTATTAGCTCCATTCTTCTTCGACTGTGGTTGACAACAGCCCTTTTGCCTCATGCTGGCTGTTTGCATGATACATGATTACCTGAGAGTGTTTCTGCATGATGAGATGTGTAATGACTCAGCTGTGATCCCTTTACATTGCTTTATCTTTTGCAGTGAAATCCTGGCAAAGCAATCTCTTTTCTCCTTCCTTCCTTCCTTCCCCCAGATAAAGCTGCTTTGTTTGTCTTGGCGGGAGGGGAGGAATAAGCAAGCACATGGGCTCCTCTACTCATGTTTGAGTCATTTTATCTGAAATGGCCTCTGTATGAGACATCTCTGAAGTCCTAATGTACTTGATTGGCTTTATGAAGAATGCAATACGAAGGAGGGGAAAGCCCACAGGTGTGCATTTTTCCTCTACCCAAACTAACAGATACAAATCATCCTCCTGCTTTCCTACATGTTAGTTTCCAGGAATGAAATTACTACAAAGTGCAACAATAAAACACAAAGCATCTCCCGCAGTGAAGTAGCTGGAAAAGGGAAACTAAGTAATGAAGCAGAGTCTTCTAATTTCTCAAGTGACTAAATTGCTTTCAGCCATCTTAGGGTGTGAATCTGCAAGCTGCTGAGCTTTCTGAAGGAGGATCAGCTTCCCATCACCAAATGTAGATATTAGTGTTGCTGCAGACATTTCAGATACAGCTCAGTGGCTCAGTCCTGGGTTACAGAGCAGGTGTAAGTGGCATGTTGTGTCCTGGCAAAACAGTGTAAGTGGTTGGTTTGTCCATTTTCCTTATGCTCATTTAATATAGCCCAGGCTGGTAAAACTCCTTGAAAATTTAGCTACATTGGTATGCACCTGTAAAAAGAAAGAACTGCACATACAAAAATGCATGCATGAGTGTACAGAAACATGTGCATCTATACCTATGGATATAATGAGATGTGTATATCTATATGCTACAGGGCTGGACAAATTAACACATTTGTATGGGCTTGCCATTTAAAATGCTATCTTCTAAATCAGGATGTCAATATTCTTCTTATTAAAAGGTAGCTGAAACTACTGTATGAAGCACCCTAATACTAACTTCTTTTTTTTTTTTTTTACAATGCTTTTTTTAGTAAAAGCATCATCTGATTTACTTCAGTACCAGTTAAAGGCAATTAAAAATGTTTTAAAAAAGAGAAGAAATGCAATTTTGCAAAAGTCTGCCAGCTTTAAAATTAGTTCAAATTAGACCTTTTTCACCATCTATTCCAAACCATTTCTGCTTTGTTAAAATTGCTCGTTAAAGGGGAGAGTCTTGTCTTTTTTCTTATGACTATCGTTCTAGATAACATTTTCCTGTAAAAGTGGGGGATGATATTTTTAAAATATAAAATGTCAGGATTTTTTGAATGGAAAACCTGAGAGTATTGAATAATTGTTGGAGGTGTTTAGGTTTTCTTCCTGCTCCCAAGAGAGGTTTCATAACAAAAGTAAGGGGCTGGTAGAAAGATATCAAGTCTCTTTTTTTCTCCTACTGATATGGTAGGTAACCACTGAAAATTATTATTGTTAGGCAGGGATTTTTAGGTTATGGAATTTCTGTGTCACTTAGATGTGGATTTAGGCAGAGCAAATTACTTTTTCCTGGAAAAAACTTGGCCAATAACAGCCATGCTTATAAAGATACTTAGTCATACAAAGTCTGGGTTGGATGCCTAGAGGAACTGTCTGAGAACCCTAGTGTCTGGCTATAGAAAACAAATGAAAGCTCTCTGTGAGAACACTAAATCCCAGTTTCAGTGAGACTTCTGAGTGAAGTGTGGGCTTCCAAAGAAATTTAGTCTCCTGAGGATGTGGATCAATGCTTAAATGACTAAACAACATGACCACTTTACTCTAATTAATTTTAGTTGGATTTCTGCTTCTGGCTTGCTGTGAGATGTTTCAAAATACTACAAGACATTTAAATACCTTTGAAAATTGAGTCTCATTTCTCTTTTGCAAGTAAAACATTGGTCCTAAGCTAGTCATCTATGTAATTTGCAGTATTTCATCTGTCCTTATTCACTTACTAATGACAAGATGGTGTGAATGTTTTGAGTAAATTTTTAACACATACATGTTTTTTTTTTTCTTGTTCTTGCCATGGCACAGCACTTAGAGTATGTCTGCAGTGAAAATAAAGACAAACAAAGGACAGGCTTTTAACTCACATTGGCTAAACCAGGTTTCTCATCTAGGTAGACATAGCTGTGAAAACAAGCCATTTAGGGCTGTAATGTTACCAGATTATGTTCAGTCATGAGATTCCCCTGACATTTAAGTTAAAACCGATGGCTCAGATTCAAACATGAGATGTTTTCTCTCTGTTTTATTTTATCATGATCTAGACACACTTAACCCATGCTATTTAGCAATTGCTCAGTTTTTACAGTGTAAGCCAAACCCTTATCCTAATGTGATGTTTGTCTATATCAGCATTTAGCTGATTACATATTTCACATATTGGGTAAGGAGCAATCAATATATCATATGGTTTCACTATGGTGAGGGGATATGAATCTTCTGCTAATGAAGTCAGCTGTCAATTTTGCTGAGCACAAGATCTGAGTTCTAGACTGGTGGAAGCACTTGAAGGTTGTTTTTATGAGTCTTTTGGATTTGTTTCATTTTACATTTGGTTTTTCAGGCTACCTGTTTTAACATTTGTCACCCAGTCCCGTCCTGTGGTCATTGAGGACAGGGCAAATGTCTTAGACATCCTTTAAGATTAAATTAATCACTCTCTAGAAGTGCATCTTTCTCTCCATTGATTATAGAGACAGAGTAGGCTCCTGGCAATAGTTTAGCTACTTCTAGCAGCATTCATCTATGTATAGGAATCTTACTACTAGTCCAGAAGACACATCTGCACAAGTCTTAAAAGATATATGTTTTTTTTATTGAGATAAGAGCTGGGATAAAGGAAGGATACCTCCTTGCGTCTAAAATTACACTAGACTTCTCTGCTGAGGAAATGTGTACATCTACTTACAGCCACATACATTAAAATCAGGTGTCAAAGCATCCATTTAAGTCGGTGGCCATCCAATTAGTAATCTGTGGGACTTGGGAGAGGGTAGCTCTTCTTCCAGTCTATTCTAGATCCAAGATCCATTCATTGCATCATGTGAGAGCTTTGGCAGATATCATATATGTAGAGCAATCTACACAGATTTCATAGTCTAAAGCTAACTCAGACCCCTAAAATGCCTTTCTCGCCCTGCATGTCTGGTGCTATTTGAGATGAACTAGATTATCTCTGCAGCTCCAGTAAGGATGCAAGTCTCCTGTCTGTCACGTCTCATATCTGCTAGCTCCAAACAGATATGTCTGATACCTGTTGGCTTTTCAAATTACCCTAAGTGCCATCCAAAACCCCTAAGTTCTTGATGAGGTGAATTCCTGAAAAAAATGCAATCTTCAGAACAAAATCAACCTTCCTTTCCATGAGTGTAAGACAATCAGTTGAAGTGTCCTTCACCTCAGATTAACAGGATTGTAACAGGAGGAAGGATTTGACTCTCTTTGTACTCCACCATTTCATGCCATTGTTGTTGGTTGCCATCACCCACACAAAGCTTACACTGAAGACCAGTTTCAAATATTGTTCATCATTGCCAGCTCTTCACAAACACAAAGGAGTTTCAATTTTGGGGGTTTTATTTTTAATTTTTCAGGAAGCAGTGCTTTGTAAAACACTTGAGCAAAAGCTGAGACCTTGTGAGGCTCTCTAAGACAAGTGCTATTTCAAAGCTTTCATGCAGTTTTGTAATGCCTACTTACTGAAAAGCCAAGTGAGATAGTTAAATCCCTGCCAAACCAAGGACCTTATCCAGAGTATTTTGAGGTTGGTGGGAGGCCTCTTGGTTGACTACAGTTAGAGTTCTAATATGCCCTTGGGGGTTTTGGAGGTTTTCTTCACAAGTTACTATAACAGCTTCAAAGCATGATTTGTTCCCTTTGGTTCTGCACTTCGCTGCGCTTCCTTTTCCAATGAAAAG